AATTTTCACTAGGAAAATTTCGTGAGTTAGTTGTGACACATGTCTAAACATTCAAATTAAGATTATATATCTTTGCGAATGGAATCCTCGGTTTTTGGCTGGGATTTGTTTAGAAAAAGCTTCGCGGTCTTTTGGCCCGGAGATCCTCGATTTTTTGACCGGGATTTGGATAGAAAAAAGCTCCGCGGTTTTTGGCCGGGAGATGCTCGATTTTTTATCGGGATTTGGATAGAAAAAGCTCCAGGGTTTTTTGGCCGGGAGATCCTCCCTTTTTGGCCGGGATTTGGATAGAAAAAGCTCCACGGTTTTTGGCCGGGAGATCCTTGGTTTTTGACCGGGATTTGGATAGAAAAAGCTCCGCGGTTTTTGGCCGCGAGATCCTCGATTTTTGACCGGGATTTGGATAGAAAAAGCTCTGCGGTTTTTAGCCGGGAGATTCTCGGTTTTGGCAGGGATATTTAAGGAGTGGGATCCTATGCTACCATGATTTGTTTTTCTTTTGGGATTTTCATTTTCATCTCTTTTCTTCTTCTTTTCTTTGGTTCTCCTCTTTATATGTTTTCCTTCTTTTTAACAGAATGCCTGAGAGAATGTTGAGGAAACTTCCTTTATGGTCGTTTTCCTGCTGCAAAGCTGTTTCGGCACTTGCACATTTCATTTCTTTTTGGGTTGCACCTGTTTTTGGCATGGTTGCTTTGAACAAGACCTGTTTTCAACAAAGAACAATTTGTTAGTCGAAACGGTGGTTGGTTTTGTGGCTTTTGCTCATTCCTATTGCTTGATCCCGACCCCATTTCTGTTGAGAACCTTGTTGCTTGTTGATCTTGAGTGCGAATCTCTTTCACATTGATCGGGTTCAACCTTTGGATTTCATGATGACTCACTCGTGTGGGTTCTTGTTTTTCCACCTCATTCTGCTTTTCATACCTTTGCCTTTTTCTAATGTCCATTACTTTGGAAGCAAATCAACCACCATGGTCAGTCGGGATTGGACTGACGCACCACTGAGGTTGGGTATTTTCTTTGACTCTTGCCGGGTGGAGCCCTGTGAAGCCGGTCCTACCACCTTTTCTTTGTAACAGTTTCAGAATTCAGAGTTATGCCGAAAGGGATTCAAGGAAAGGTAAACAGAGAACAGAATAATGAATTTTAAATAGAAGGTTCCTTTTTGAGGGAAAAGAAGGAGTTATCTGGGGAGCATGTTGTCTTAACTAACATGACATGCTTCTTGGACTGGATGCCCGACCCGCACCAACTTCCAGTTTCTCATGAACCAACTGATCCGTGTTTCCAAACCAGGGAACCTTGCCATGATTTTTAGTGATGAAATATCCTCTTTTCGGCAGACAACGCCCTTTGTGGGGTTTCGCTACTCGACCTCTCTCATTTCTCTTCTCAGCGTCGCCCGATAGTGCTCTTTATGAGTTTTCACTAAGCGAACTCTCTCATTTTTTATTTCTCTACTCTCGTCGCCTCATGGTGCCCGAAGATTTTCACCGATAAGACTCTCTCATTTTATTTCTCTCAATTTAGAATGCATCGGTTTTCGATGATGTTTCTCAATTCCCACGCCTTTAGCCATTGATATGAAGGACTTGTACCGGGTTTTGGGAAAAAGAATTGTGGACAAAATTACAACTTTGGAACCATTTGGGCGGGGTCATAGTCGAACCATTATAACATCTGCATCAGTTTCGATTTTCGGGGGAATTTGGATTTTTGTTGTGATGTGACTGAACCCCAGGGAGGGGCTGCCTATGTATCCCTTTGGAATCAAGTCAGACGTAGTTCAAGTAACATTTTTTTTTGATATCGCTTCCGGGTTCCAAAGAGGGTGGCCAAAGAAATGTAACTAGCTCGAAGGGTTTACAAATGAGTTTATAGTGTTTGGGGTAGCGGGAATAAAAACCTTTGTCATTTCAAATACGCAAAGACATCACCGAAGCAAATTTAGACATAATACCTTTTTACTGCATCCGCATTCACCGCTGCTTCAGGATCATTTCCTTCAATATCACCCAAGTACAATGCTCCCCTTGGTAGTATTTTTCTAATGATATATGGCCCTTCCAGTTAGGAGCAAACTTTCTTTTTGCTTCTTGATGATGAGGAAGAATACGCCTTAACACCAATTGCCCAACCTCAAATTTTCTGGGCCGTACTTTCTTATTATAGGCGCGGGCCATTCTTTGCTGGTACAATTTCCCGTGACAAACTACGGCCATCCGTTTTTCATCAATCAAAGTCAATTGTTCCTATCGAGTCTTAACTCATTCACTATCTTCGATCTCTGCTTCAACAATTGTCCGGAGCAAAGGAATTTCCACCTCTTCCGGTATCACATCCTCGGTTCCATAAACCAACAAATACGGTGTTGCTCCTACCGATGTGCACACTATAGTGCGATATTCCAGTAAGGCAAAAGGTAACTATTCACGCCACTGTTTGGAGCTCTGGATTGTCTTTCTCAAAATCTTCTTGATATTCTTATTAGCTGCTTCAACAGCGCCATTGGCCCTGGGCCGATAAGGAGTGGAGTTTCTATGCGTTATTTTGAACTATTCGCATACTTCCTCCATCAAACGACTATTCAGGTTTGCAGCATTGTCTGTGATAATGGTTGCAGGAATACCGAAGCGAAAAATAAGGTTCGAGTGTACAAAATCCACTACAGCTTTCTTAGTGACTGTTTTGAGAGTGATGGCTTCGACCCACTTTGTGAAGTAATCAATAGCAACCAATATGAATCTGTGACCATTTGAAGCTTTCGGTTCGATTGGACCAATGACATCCATACCCCAGGCGACAAAAGGCCAATGCGCTGACATAGGATGTAATTCTGTTGGAGGTGCATGAATCAGATCTCTGTGCACCTGACATTGATGACATTTTCGGACAAAGTTGAAGCAATCTTTCTCCATAGTTATCCAATAATACCCGGCTCGAAGTATTTTCTTTGCCAAGACATACCCGTTCATATGAGGTCCACACACTCCTGTGTGCACTTCCTGCATGATTCATCCAGCTTCCTCAGCATCAACACATCTCAATAAGTTGAGATCCGGGGTTCTTTTATACAAGACCTCACTACTCAAAAAGAAACCACTCGCATGCCGCCTAATGGTCCTCTTTTGATCTCTGGTAGCACGTTCGGGGTACTCTTGTGTTTTCAAAAACCTCTTAATATCATGGTACCATGGCTGGATGTTTGGCCCTGTTTCAATTGCATTACAATAACCATGCCTTTCACTGATTTGGATTTCCAAGGGATCGATGTGGACATTTCCTGGATAAGGCAACATCGAGGCTAAAGTAGCAAGTGCATCAGCTAGCTCATTGTGGCACCGAGGGATGTACCTGAATTCTATCGATTTGAATCATTTGCCGAGACCTTCCACATGCTGCCGATAAGGAATAAGTTTGACATCTCGAGTTTCCCACTCTCCCTAGGCTTGCCGGATAATCAAATCTGCATCTCCCATGATCAATAAATCTTCAACATTTTGGTCAATCACCATATTCATGCCCATGATGCAGGCTTCATATTCAGCAGTATTGTTCGTGCAGAAGAACCGGAGCCTAGCTGTAGCCGGATAATGCTGACCAATAGGTGAGATCAAGATTGCCCCAATCCCTACACCTTTGGCGTTCACTGCCCCATCGAAGAACATTTTTCAAGCATGAGCGTCCTCAGGGACTACTTCTATTGTGTTTACCTCTTCATCTGGAAAGTATGTGCTCAACAGTTGGTATTCTTCGTTAACCGGGTTTTCAGCCAAATGATCTGCCAATGCCTGGGCTTTCATTGCCGTGCGAGTAACGTAGACTATGTCAAATTCACTGAGCAAGATTTGCCATTTTGCTAGTCTTCCAATGGGCATCGGTTTATGGAATATGTACTTCAAAGGATCCAACCTGGTTATGAGATAAGTATTATGAGTTTGAAGATAATGTCTCAACTTTTGAGCAACCCACGTCAAGGCACAACACGTTCTCTCCAACAAAGTATATTTGGCCTCGTAGCTAGTGAACTTCTTACTCAGATAGTAAATCGCTTGCTCTTTTTTGCCGGTTATATCTTGTTGCCCGAGGACACAACCAAAATAATTCTCCAACACTGTCAGGTACAAGTAAAGAGGTCTCCTAGACTCTGGTGGGTTCGACAGATATTCCTTGATTTTGTTGAAAGCCTCTTGACATTCAGATGTCCATTTGATTGCTGTGTCTTTCTTCAATAGCTTGAATATGGGCTCACATGTGGTAGTCAGTTGAGCAATGAACCGACTGATATAATTTAACCTGCCCAATAAACTCATCACGTCTTTCTTAGTTCTCGGAGGAGGTAGATCTCGGATAGCCTTTATCTTTGTTGGATCTAACTCGATACCTCTCCTGCTGACTATGAAGCCTAGAAGTTTGCCTGATGGGACTCCGAAGGCACATTTAGCCGGATTCAGCTTCAAATCATACTTGCCCAACTTTTCGAAAAATTTCCTCATGTCTCAAACATGATCATCCTGAGTTCTGGACTTGATAATCACGTCGTCCACATACACCTCTATCTCTTGATGCATCATATAATGGAAAATGGCGGTAATAGCTCTCATATAAGTTGCCCCGGCATTCTTCAACCCAAATGGCATGACCCGATAACAATAAATTCCCTAGGGTGTAGTGAAAGCTGTTTTCTCGGCATCTTCTTCATTCATCAACACCTGGTGATATCCTGCGTAACAATCCACAAAGGATTGTATCTCGTGTTTGGCGCAGTTATCAACAAGGATGTGGATGTTGGGCAAAGGGAAATTGTCTTTAGGACTTGCCTTATTCAAATCTCGTTAATCCACACACACCCAGGTTTTCCCATCTTTCTTTGGCATGGGAACTACATTAGCTAGCCACGTAGTGTACTGGACCACCCGGATTACCCCTGCTTTCAACTGTTTTGTGACTTCTTCTTTGATTTTATCACAAATATCAGTCTTAAACTTCCTTTGTTTCTACTGAACCGGAGGACAATCAGGGTAAATTGGCAATTTATGCACCACTAGATCGACACTCAATCCTGGCATATCATCGTACGACCAAGCAAACACGTCTTTAAACTCAAACAGAAGTTGAATTATCGCATCCCGTGTTTTCTCATCAGTGTGAATGCTTATTTTTATTTCCCGAATTTCTTCAGAAGTTCCCAAATTAACTGGTTCTGTATCATTCAAGTTCGGCTTAGGTTTATTCTCAAATTGTTTCAGTTCTCGATTTATTTCCCTAAAAGCCTCTTCTTCATTATATTCCGGTTCTTGGTTCATGATTTCACAATTAGACAATATGTTTGGATCTGGGCGTGAAGTTCGCAAGCATGTCATGTTATTTAAAGTCGCATTATTATAACTGAAAAGAAGAAATAAAAGAGAAAAATAGCAAAAATCAGAAAGAATAAAGAGAATAAACGATGAAATATTGATTTCATTTCTTGGGATTGGGAAGATAACAGGGTTTACATTCAGGAATTTAAACACAGAAAACTTAAAGAACAAACATCCGAGTCACANCATAGAAAATATAAAGAACAAACATCCGAGCCATACCCTAGGGTAACTCATGATGCAGAAAAAGTGGCAGGACAAGTCTACCCGGACTCCCCGCCTGATTGGGAATGGCGTAACCTTCCAATTTTGATTTTATCATCTGGTCCCATGTAGAGCACCTCAGCGGTGCTAGTACCTTCCACTAGCTGAATCATGTTGGTTTCATAAAGCATTTGCCTCATAGCTCCACATATATCTTTGATTTCTTTGGCTGTGAAGGCCTCACCATCTTCATTCTCGCTGTATTTTGGCTTGACAAAGGTCTGATATAGATGTGGCAATGGCTGTGGCAAGGCCCATCCTTCCCTTTTCCTCTCATTTGCCCAATCTTAATCTTCTGGGATAGGGTGGAAACCTATCCAAAAAAACTTTTCTGTTATGGGTAGGGTTATTGGCTCCGATATTCCTTGTAGAGCTTTTCCCAATCCTTTTCCCGGCTTGAAACCATGTTTGATCATCTCTTTTGCCACCATGATCGAAGCATTAGATAGGAAAGGTTGGGGGTAAGGGCTCCACTCTTCGTACTGTTCCACCACTACAACTTCGAAAGCCTGATAAATAATGTGTTCACTTCCCTCCCTAGCCTCCAAACATGGGACAGATGGGTCCCGATAAATAGACTGTTCATCTTCTCCGTGGACCACAATTTCCTGATCTTCATTCTCGAAATTCCCCATTTGGTGAAGGGTGGAAGGTACAGCCCCCGCGGCATGGATCCTAGGCCTACTTAGGAGAAAGTTGTAAGATGTATCCATGTCCAAAACTTGGAAGGTCACCTCGAAATCCACTGGGCCTATGGTTAATACCAGATCTATCTCTACGACGGAATCCCTCTTAATGCCATCAAAAGCTCTTACACAGATGTTATTGGGACGAATCTTTCCAGTCCCGATTTCCATTCTCTGCAGTGTAGAGAGTGGACAAATGTCAACACCCGAACCCCCATCCACCATTACTCGCTTGACATAAAAAACTTCACACTTGACAGTCAGATGTAAAGCTTTCTTGTTAGCCGCTCCCTCTGGAGGCAAATCGTTCTTACTAAAGAAAATTTGACTAACAGCAAAGAACCTTTCTACCATTCTTTCGAGTTGTTCAACTGAAGTCTCAGCAGGCACATACGCCTCATTCAGAGTTTTCACTAGGGTCTTCTGATGCTCGGCAGATCTCTTTAACAAAGATAGCATAGACACTTGTTCAGGGTACTTGCGTAACTGATCCACCACTTCATAATCAGGCATCTTCATTTTCTGGAAGAAAGCCTCTGCCTCCTCAGCACTTACAGGCTTCTTGGATGGAAAGCGCTTCTGTGTGGCATTGTTCACTTCTTGTACATCTGAATATTTCTTAGCAAAGGTATTTCCCGGAAGTTCTCCTGTGATTTCTTTACCTTTGTATGTAACCAACGTCTGTTGATAATTCCATGGCACCGCAGACGGGTCTGTTATTGGGTTCTGTGGCACGCGTCCGATAACCACTGGCTCATTCAGCCGAGGCAGTTTAATCGTCCCACGGACCACATAGGCTCCTTTTGGCACATATGTTGGTGTTCCCTTTTTCACTTCAAATTTCTTTGGAATACCCACGATTAACAGCTTTTCTTGGCGACCTCGTAGAATATAGAGAACCTCATTTTTCGGAGGCGCCATCTCTGCCTTTGCTTCAACCTTCTTTTCGAGTTCAATCTTGACAGTTTTAGTCTTCTCTCCCCCTTTCTCCTGCTTCGGGGTTGCTTTAGGCTTTCTTTCTGTATCAGCAATAGCAATTATGGCTTTCAAGGCGGGATCGAACTCTTTGTCTTTGCAGATCATCCCGATTACCGGCCCGTTGTTATGAGCGGGCAATGGCTTATTGGTCACATTCGGGGCTTCTTCGTCCCTCAACACCATTTTTCCTTGTTCAATCAAATTTTCCACAGCTTTCTTCAAGGTCCAACAGTTATCAGTACTATGCCCCTCAGCTCCTGAATGATAAGCACAGTGGACACCTCGTTGGTAAGCTGGATATTCTGGATTCTGGCTGTTTTGGGGAATAGGCTGTAGCAGATCCATCTGGATAAGCTTAGGGAACAGGGTGGAGTAGGGTTCACCGATTGGTGTAAAGTTGGGTCTCCTGGATGGTTCCCGGGGGCGAAAGTTATTTTGTGTTGGTCGGGGATTATATTGGTTCTGGTAAGGAGGTTGGTTTCTTTGGAATGGAGGTGGATTTCGATTGGCTTGTGGTTGCGGCCGGCCGAAAGGTTGAGCATTCATGACCGCAAAAGGTGAGGGAGCGTAGGCCATATCATTGTGAGGATAATAGTGTTGAGGGGTTCTTTCGGAGAATACCGGTTTATGATCCGGGTATCTCCTTCCTCTTGAAGCTGCCATGACCGTTTCTTCTTTCTTTTTCCCTTTGTCCATTCCTCCAGACCTGCCTTGAATGGCTTGGGAGGTCGCTCTTATGGCCGACTGGCTCAAGATTCTACCCGTTTTCAGACCATTTTCTACCATTTCCCCTATTTTAATTGCTTCTGCGAAAGGCTTTCCCATGGCCGACATCATATTCTGGAAGTAATCGGGC